GGGGCGCTAGGGGAGTTCACGGCACCCCTAGGTCGCGTCCTGCCACAGTTACTAATAGCTATAACCAGATAGTTTTATGATGGCCTCTTCAGGCACATAGCTCATGGTTTTGCATTTGGTGTTAGTCAAGTCTGCCATATGCATTAACTCTTCTGGAAGTGCTGGATGTTTTTAAATCTGCGGGCCCTGATGCTGTCCACCCACAGGTGCTGAGAGAGCTGACAGGGGTCATTGCTGTGCCCTTGACTCAGCTGTATGAGCGATCGTGGTCCATGGGCCAGGTGCCCGGAGACTGGAAACTAGCTAATGTGGTTCCCATTTATAAGAAAGGGAGAAAGGAGGACCCAGGAAACTATAGGCCCATAAGCCTCACATCGGTCTTGGGGAAAATCCTTGAAAAAATTGTCAAAGATCACATCTGTGAGGGGCTAGTAGGGAAGATCATGCCCAGGGGAAATCAACATGAGTTCCTCAAAGGCAGGTCCTGCCAGACCAACCTGATGGCCTTTTATGACCAGGTAGTTAAATCCCAGGATGATGGTGTTGCCATGGATATAGTCTTTCTGGACTTTAAAAAGGCCTTTGACACCGTCTCTCACCCCATTCTCATTAATAAATTGAGTGACTGTGGCATTGATGCCTACACAATTGGATGGGTCAGAAATTGGTTGATTGGGCGCACCCAGAGTGTTGGTGGATGGGCTGTCCTCGACCTGGCAGAATGTGAATAGTGGGGTCCCCCAGGGCTCAGTTCTGGGGCCTACACTGTTCAACATCTTCATTAGCAACTTGGACGAGGAGGTGAAAAACACATTGTCCAAATTTGCCAATGACACCAGGATGTGGGGAGACATAGGCACGCTCAAAGGGAGGGAGAAGCTGCAATTAGATTTAGATGGACTACAGAAGTAGGCAGATAATAATAGGATGGGCTTCAATGTAGATAAATGCAGGGTGCTGCACCTGAGAAGGAATCCACAGCATACAAACAAGCTAGGGAGCTCCCCCCTTGAGAGCACAGAGGCGGAAAGGGATCTTGGAGTCATTATTGACTCCAAGATGAACATAAGCTGCCAATGCCAGACCACAGCCAGCAAAGCCAACCGCACCTTGTCGTGCATCCAAAGCTGTATCTCAAGCTGGTCCAGAGAGGTGATACTCCCCCTCTACGCGACATTGGTCCGGCCTCAATTGGAGTACTGTGTCCAGTACTGGGCACCGCACTTTAAGAAGGATGTGGCTTGCCTTGAAAGGGTTCAGAGGAGGGCCACCCGCTTGGTTAGAGGGCGAAAGGGCACGCCCTAAGAGGAGAGACTGAGGGACCTGAACCTGTTCAGCCTCAGCAAACGGAGGCTTAGTGGGGATTTGTTGGCTGCCTACAAACTCATTAGGGGATATCAGCAGCCAATAGGAAGGGTCCTATTCCCCCCAGCAGCACCTGGGGTGACAAGGAACAATGGCCAGAAGCTGCTGGAGAATAGGTTCAGGTTAGAGATTAGGGGGCACTATTTCACTGTTAGGGTGGCTAGGATCTGGAACCAACTTCCTAGGGAAGTGGTCCTCACACCTATCTTGGGTAAATTCAAAAAGAGGTTGAATGAACACCCGTCTGGGGTCGTGTGATTCCCAGCATGTGCTCTGGCCAGTGGCAGGGGTCAGACTAGATGATCTATTTAGGTCCCTTCTGATCCCAAACTACTATGAAACTTTGTGGAAAAGTGAGCAAGTCTGAGCTAGAAGTCATTAAAAAATAAGCAAAAAGAGTTTCCCAGTCACTTCTCAGAGTAAAACCACATTTTAAGTCAGAATCAGGAATTATAAGGAGGACAAGGCATATCACAGTTTGTTCCATTCACTTACTTTCTCCATCTCCATCTTTATCAAATTCTTCAATCATAGCCCGTAGCTCCTCATCTGTCATGTTTTCACCAAGTTCTCTAGCAACACGTCGTAGGTTTCGCAGGCTTATTTTACCTGAATCATCATCATCAAATAATTTGAATGCTTTGAGTATTTCTTCTTGTGGATCTCTGTCCAATATCCAGTCTGTCACTAAAAAGTGGGAAATATGGTTATTATTTATTTTTTAAAATGCCACTTGCCTGTTATCACAATGCTTTTCTAGAAGCAAATTAAGCCTTTGGCTTTTAAAATTAGCTCACTGGCTCAAATTTCTCTTAGTCCTTAACCTAGGCATTTTTAATGTGCATCTCAAGCTTAAATATTTCTAGCAATTAATTGTTATTGCACTACTGTACTGTTGTTGACTTTTTTTCATCTCTTCCTTTCAGTTTTAGTGGCAATACTGCACATTAGGGTAGGGACCCAGTGAAGACAGAATGGTTTAAAATTCTCTTTCCTGTGCAGTCAAGAAATCAGATTTGGATATTAAATGCTTGCTGTATCTTAATGAAAGGCACCAGTTGTGAAGTGCAACATTTACTCTAATGCAACAGAAAATGTAACTTTGGTTTTAGTGACTTTAAGTTTTGCTTCTAAAAAAAATGAAGACAGAAAATCCAAATTGCTTCAATATTGTGCACTGTAGATTTGGTAGTCCTTAGAAAGGATGGTTAACAACTATTCTGCCTTTTTTTGTTGTTTGAAAAGTGACTTAATAATGGTCACTTCCTGTTGTTTCATATTTTCTGGACATATTACATAAAAGAGAGTAAGTCCCTGATGCAGATCTATCAACAATCCAGTAAAAATTGCTGCCATAAGGCACTAGCTTACAGAGCATGATGGTAGATAGCCATTGTATAAATACTGAACTTAGACAAAAACGATTAGAAATGGTCTTCTTACTAATACAAAATATTCACAGGGTAAGGAAGTGTAGCTGAGAACTAAGGACAGTGTAAACAGAAATCTGTTTCGGGTAGACAGCCACAGCACATACTTCTTAATAGTGCATTTTGCTCTCCTCCATTTCTTCTAGTTCTGTTTAATATCCGTATACCTCCTTATTTGTGTTGATTTATCTTTCTACCTGGCAGTTTAGCCTCACTGTGCTTTTGAAGAGTAGTGCTCCCCCACCATATCGGTCTGTACACAATCCTTATCTGTTGGAAACTCGTGTTGAGGAAGAAACTCTAAGTCAATGGTCTCCAAGCTTTTTAAGTAGATCACCTTTGGCATTTAAAAGCAACCCAAGATCTACTGTGTGCTGCCACCACCACCCCCTCCCCGCCCAGTAGGGAGGGATGGGGAGAAGGGGTGGGGAGGAAGGGGGCAGATCAAGACAGTGAGAGAATTATTTGGGGGTGTGCCTCCCCAGCAGGTAAAGTCCCACTTGGCCAGAGCCCCACTCAACTTACCCCTGCTCCTGCCTCTGCAGCACTGTTCCTCACAGCTGGGGCCTCGATTTAGTCCCCACCCTTTCCCCCCCCACAGACTGACTTGCTGGGCTGCGGTATGCACGTGCATGTACGTGGGCACTCAGCCCCCCACCCCAGCCTCGGATCAATCCAAGAGGCTCTGAGATCTGCCACAAGAGACTCCAAGATCTACCCGTGGATCGAGATCCACTGGTTGGTGACCACTGCTTTAAGTTTACAAAATGTGTAGATGAGAGTTGTTTACTCCTAAAGTTTGTAAGATTCTATTAGTTGCTAAAGAGGGAAAAGCAGTTGGGCCTTAAGAATCTCAAGGTAACCAAAGGAGTTACAATAGAAAACTTAAAGACAAAAAAGCTCAAACCCTACAAGTTAATGAAGGGGTTTTTACTATACACAGAAAGACACTAATTCAGACCAGTTTAGTCTGCCTTGATTATTCCTTTGGTTATATCCATTTGTCAGTTTCTGTAATATAAAATGAAAAAGAGGCAAAATAACTTGTCATGTACAAATATTTTGCTAGTAATTGCTTCAGTCAATTCTGGAGCCAGCAGAGTAAAAATCTTCACACACTCTGTACCTGCTAGTCTTGTATTACAAGACTTGCTATTTACGACTTTCATCAAGCCATTAAAAATACTTCACCCCTGCTGGGGCTTACAGAACCATTTAGAAACTGCTATTGTTTGCAGATGGAATGCACTGTCTGGTTTAGTGAACCTGACAAGAAAAATTCAGAGCTAAACTCCCAAGGATCTTACTGCAACTATGCTGAAAAATTGCAGGTTTTTGATTTAGCTTTAAAATAACTACTTTTGCTTAATAGTATTAAATCATTTGAACCATGTAAATGTGTTATAGGGACATGACAACTGAGATTTATTTAAAGAGTACTACAAAAATACTAATTGAAACATATTAACGTAAAAGATGAAAAATATAAAACATTTGTAAATATTAAAAGCAATACCTTTGATCTTTTATATAATACTTGCCTATATAAATCAAGACAAACTACTGGTATACTTATATATTTTTATGTAGCTCATTCTTGTATCCATGTGAGTAAACAACAACATTTTGTACTAAAGTTGGTAACGAAGATGGTTAAAATTTATTTTTCCCCTCTGTATAATTTACTTCACAGGAGGCCCAAATGGACTCATGTATAGTTTACTGCGCTTACTCAGGCACTTAAATATTACCTTTCCCATGGCCTATATTCCCTCACTCCTGTTCTTTCAGCTAGAACTTACATCACTTATTAATTCAGGAGAAAGAACCTGGTTAACTTAAGCTGCATTCACTTTCACTAGAGCTGTATAGGGCTCAAAGTTCTGAGATAATGTCAGATAAATATATTGGCTTTCCATGCTGTAGGTCACAGCTGTCCAACTAGCGGCCCACAAGAGGTTAACATGTGGCCCACATGCCACAGGGGTCACACACTGCTGGCACAGCCTGCAGGGCAGGGCCACACACCACTTGACTGGAGGCTGCATGCTGCCATCACAAATTGCCAGGCAGGTGAAGGTAGGCATTGCTGCCAACTGAAATTGGGCAGCCCTGTTGTAGATAGTTAAATCTACTTGAACTGTTTCATGGCCTCTCTTGGCACTTCAAAGTACACATGATAGGAACAGGAACAAACTGAACAGAGGCTATACTGAACAGGAGGGATAAGAGAACCCCCACAGAAAAGTGAATATGTGAAGGAAAGAGAAGCCCCACACTCCCAGAAATAGCATCTTCTGTCAGTCATAAAGATATTGCCCCTACAAGAATTTATGACCACATTTAGATGCAGTAAAAACAGCCAATTTCACCAAGTGAAGAAAAATGAAAAAGCCACCCTTAAACATATGAGATAAATATTTTAATATTTATTATCCTAGGTCTCTTATTTTCCTTTAAGATTTCTTTCCAGTGATTGGGAACCTGCATTCACAGTCTACTAAACTGAACACCTTACTTCTTAAAGCACTCTTCCCAATCCTCCTGAATCTGCTGCAATGGCAGTATCTGTACTTACCTACGTTTCCACATGGAAATGTATTTACTTCCTGGGGTACGATCTGCCCCAGTTCAATACATTTGTCATTGTAATGTTGTTTTAAGTTATCACTTACAATTGTGCCCCATCTTAGCTTTTTAATCAATCCAATATATGGATCATAACTAATCCCTGATTTATTATATAGATTAAATTGGTCTTTAAACCCAAGGACATGTGTATCAAAATTGTACTGATTTGTTTTGAAGTTTCACAAGGGCATAAAAGAAAATGAATATAAGATTTCTGATATATGATTTTTAGTTAAAACAAGACTGAAATTTTATAAATTTAGTAACTAATAGAAACTATGACAAAAAACTTTGATCTCCTTACAAAGAAAAAAATGGCTCACCACATGAAATTCAAGAGTGTTCTGAACAGAAAGGTATAGGTTTGAGAAATGTAAGAATTAACAGCAGCTGAATATCTTGAAGGGTAGTGCTTAACAGCTAGATCAGTTTTTCTTACCTTTGCTACAATATAAATCCATATTAATATATTACTACTCTCTGTTTACATTACTACTCTTCTTTTTGGGATTCTGACATGTTTCAATGCCCAATTACTATTTTTTCCATCACATCAAGAAAAAGAATCCTATTATGCTCAAAAGCAGAAGAGTCATGTCTAGATTCCTGCAAAGTAGAGCTTTCCCTCCAGCACCAGTATGAAACAAGAGTGAAACTGTTTACGTTGCTAGTCCCCTATAGGCTGGTGCTGTGGGAAAGGGCTATATAACAGAAGTGTAAATGAACTTAAACTGCTTTTAATCTTCTATTACAGCTCGGGGTGACACGAAGAGAAATATTCTGACTGAAAACAGAAGGGAGCAAGATAAAACAAGAGAGGAAACATTTGCATATTGAAAAGAACTTGAAAATACAGAGGGAGAGCAAAAACTTGTTAAGTGCTAGTGAAGGAAAACAAATCCTTATTAAAATTGCCCATTACAAAAATCACGGAGTCTTTGAAAGAGCCTAGGGAAAAGATTGTTCTTCATCCCTATCTAAAACCCTGCTCTTGTCCAGCTGTCTGATACTATTAAGAAACAGAAGTTGACAAGCTGCTGGCTCCAAATTAGCACTATTCCTGTACACCAACTTTCCCCCACTGATTTTCAATATGTACATAAATCAGATACATACCAACTTCATTAAAATCTTCAAATGTGATTTTTCCTGTTGCTTCTCGATCATAATCTTTAAGTATTTTTAGCACATCAGCCTTTTTTACATCAAAACCCAAGGCTCTCATTGCCACCTTTTGGAATAAAACAGAAGTACAACAATATGCCAATTTCAGACTATATACAGCACAGTTTCCTTTTTCCATGAACCAATATCTAATTACCCAAGACAAAATGTGTTTAATGTGGGGAAGGAAACACTTTATCAAATAAATGTTTTTTAAAAATAATAAACTTTTTGGATGTAAAGCATTCTCTAAAGCACTAATTACAGGAGGATCATACAGAAAAAACACAAAAATTTTACTCTTTTGGAGAATTCATAAAATGCGTTAAATCTACTGAGCAAGAAGAGATATTTTAAAAAAATTTATTAGAACAACCATAGCTCCTTTAACATGGAAATACCAAATAAACACACACGTTTTAATGGGAAATGATCTCTATTGCAACTCCAAACAATTGCAAATTATCCTTCTAACACTAAATTAAGGATTTTAGTATGCGGTCTAAATTAGAGGTAAAAAACCTCCAATCCAACAAGATGTGTTTATTCAAAGTCTGTAACAAATGCAGGTTTTCTAGGAAAGAGGTTACCTTATGTACCTATTCCTCAATTGTAATATTTTCAGGGGCACAACACAAGACTCCCATACCTAATCACACAGCCATGGAACTAATTTTAACCAGTAATGGGAAGAGGGAGAGAACAAGTATGTCCTTCAGTCCTAAAGGATATTAACATGCTGAAGGATATTAAAGATGCCCAATATCAAAAGTGCCCAACTGTTCTCTGTCTTCAGGAGACCTAATGCAGCTGAGCTTTGACATAGAGGGAAGAAAGAGGGGGGAAATCAGCATGCTCTGTCAAGGTAAGACATTTAAAGAAAAGGAATTACATGCTTCTTTGTTCCATAGCCATGACAAAGCCAGAGTGTAGGAAGCTAACTAGCAGTTTCCCCTCTCTACAATGTAGTAGAGCTGAGAAGCTCTACTAATTACATAAAATATTAACTATCTCCCCAAACCAGTGTCCATCCTTGATGCACTAACAAGAAAACAGTGATTCATTAAAATAAAAAGGTGCACCAAACTCCACATGCTGCCACTTAGAATCTGCAACAAGGAGGACTGACCAGCAGAGCCTCAAACTCCAAATCAGGGTGGTGGTTCCCAGGAATGAAGTCCTTAAGTGAGAGGGAGAGCAGGGAAGATTTCCAGGAGCTTTCTATAAATTTAGCAAATATGAACTCTGAGAATCAATGAGTCTCCCCAAAGGAAGCATAGGTTAGTAGACACTAGCCCCCCATTAACTGTCTAATACGTTTATTTCACATCTCATATAAGCACACCCTTTGAAATCAATGGGTATTCATGACAGAGCAAGAACTTTAAAATATTTTGTACTTATGGGTGTCAGGCAACTTTGCAGTTACCTTCCTCCTAATTTGCATTCTTTCCAAAATGATGAGCCCTGGACAGTACTCAGACTCCTGGCAATTCAGAGAACTACTGCAGCCACCACTGCTATTTCACACTTCTTTTTTTTTGGTGAATGCACATCTGGGACACACAAGTGCACACCTGATCCAATTCTGAAATATAACTATTCCTTCACCAAAGTAGGAGTCCCTAAGTGCCAAGCACTCCTGGTAGTATGGCCACTTGTTTCAAGTGCCTAAATGTGGGCTGAGCTCTTGTAGATATACGGTTGTAAATTTGAAAAAAATTACTATTAAAAAAACAAAACAACTTACCTTTAATTCATGATAATCTATTGCTTTATCTTTGTCTGCATCAAACAGTTCAAAAGCATCTTTAATTTCCTGCTTCTGTTCTTCAGTCAGTTCTCTTCTTTTCTTCCTTTTAGTTTTGTCTACTGCAAGTTCATTCCTATAAGATAAAAAAGAACACAAAATTCCTGAATTCAATGTAACTGCTGGTGAAATTTACCTTCAAAATATTTTACACACACTGACAACTGACCAACATATCTGAAAGGTAAAATATAGTACTGCCTTTTTTCTTTTACAGCTGAAGGAAAATGAGAAAAAGAAGTTTAAGTGGGTTGCCCAAGGCCAAAAAGAGCTAGCTAGGATTATTTCTTTATATAGACTTACAATAAAGTATATTTAATTAAGAGATACTGGGCTCTTCTACACAAGACATTTACTGTGGAGTTGCCCACGTAGCTTCACAGTAAAACATCACCATCTACACGTGTGGTGCTATTAGGACAAAGTAAACTAATTACCTCTGCCATAGGATAGTACTGCCAAACTTAAGTAATATCCTTCTGCAAAGGTATATACTCCGCTGCAACACACATGTAGACACTGACCCAGCTGCCTGAGGCTAGCCCCACACTAAAGCTCCCTCGTGTCCCAGCAAGCCCCTATGCAGCACACTGAGCCAGCAGCAGAGCAGCTCTGGGCTGGCAGCCTAGCCCCTGGGGCCCCCTGCCACCTGGGGCTGCTTAACCCTGGCTCAAAGTTCTACAGTGCCTGGTGCACATGCAAACAGCACACCCAGGAGCAAAATCTCTGGCACAAACTACACCCAAACTTATTCAATCACCTTAGTAGCACATGTAGATGTGCGCACTGTACCAAAAATACAATTTGCATGTGTAATTAACTGCATGTACAGCTCCATATAATATTTTATACGAGGGTTGTCCAACTGGTGGCCCCAGGACTGTATGTGGTCCATGAAATGTTAAATACAGCCCCCCTGAGTCCTATCCCACCGCTGCCCCTTATGTGCTCCAGCCATAGCAGGAGCAGGGTCTCTCGGCTCCCACTACCTGCCCTTTCCTCATGGGATGGGATGGTGCTGCACAATAAAGTCTGCAGTACCAGGGAACCCTGTAGCCCAAGGTACCAGAGCGGCGTGGGAGCCACCTGCAAACAGGAGCCCCCACTACTGCAACCTCCAGTTGCTTAGATGTTAGACAGCCCTGTTCTACACCACCATAAAAAATTATAATCTCTCTACATCTGACCACCTTAAATTCTCACCTTGTCCCTATATATCCAAAAGAAATAGGGTAGGTAAATAAAAACCCATTTAAAATTAAATTTGAAATGGTGACAATATATGTTAAGGCCTGATCTTATTACATACAATTATACAGTCAAAGATCAAAATGTCCAAGTAAGATAAAAACATGCCTGAAGTGCTATCCCAAACTGCAAGAACTTGCAAAATAACAGCCCTTTTTTTGCAACACTGAATTATACCCTACAAAAATCTAAAGATGGCCAATACGTGATGAAAAGCTCAGAAAAGAAGCACATAATTAAAAGGGATACTTTAAACAGGACAAAAATGGGCTAACGTGGAGACCTGAAAGGACAGCTTAAATGACATAGTGCCTTAAGTGAAATTATTCACCAGTGTAGGTCTAGAAGAAAGCTACCGGAATGTGTAGACGGCTGCAGCTAGAGGTTCAGGCAACATACAACATACTGCTGGAGTCATTTAGCTTGGTCCTCCAGCTATTACAGCAGTTTACAGTAGAAAAAAGATCCTGTTTTTACTGATGGGAGCACTGATGATGTGAGCTCCAGCTCACAAAAGCTTATGATATACAATGTAGTTAGTCTATAAAGCTCAAATCTACCCTGCTTTCTGCTTGACTTCAAACTAACATGGTTAATGACATGCCTCAGTACAAGTTTACATAACCACTAAACCTCTACCAATATTTTGCCTACAATTCCTGCCCCAAAAATGCTACCACAGGTGGGATTTGAGAGTAGTACTAGTAACACTAATCAAAAAGATCTTAAGAAGCATTTTGCAAAGTAAACAAGGCAGTTTACTAAAGAGCTGAAAACGTGAAAATGCTTTACAGACTGAGTTTTAAAATTAATTTAAAACAGACATTTTAATTTATGTTATGTGGAAGTTTTTTGATCTCTGGTTTATACAGAAACCATGAAACAACGAGCAAGCCTGCATATGTCAGCCAACATTGCTAATATACACTCGTTTCCCTCTGCACTGCTAGAACCAAGATGTTCTTCAGAAGCACGGAGACAGTAGGTGCATTGCATGTGATCCTGGCAAATGAAAGCTGTTAAGATGATAGTGGTTGGTACATTTTGCTGTGTCAGTAGAGTGGAACTGGAGCTATGCACACATAGGATGTCCACTAATAGGCTTGTGCACACAGAGATTTGCTGGCCATTGCAGATGCATGCACTAGTATGGCAAGGGTATTCAGATTGCAGGGAATTATGAAAGCATGTGTAATAAGGGACTACTAATTGCTGAGTCCACAAGAATGTTTACTAGAGACAGTATGTGTTGAGTCGTGATGAGAGCATTGAACATGGATAAGTGTATATATCCAAGAAAATTTGCTTGGGGGGCATGAGGTATGTAAATAGGTTTAATTCAGGTTAGAGACACTGACAGTATATCCAGATAAATCTGCTTAAACAATAAGACTAACAAGTTGTGTATGGTGATGTTTGTTTTAATAAATTACAAGGTGGTGTTACTCTGAGAAAATGTGTACTCTGCGTGCACCCTTCACCCATGCCCAAGGTTATTTAGTGCAATTACTGGAAGATGGGCACATTTTTATAGTGTTTACTTTAAAAGAATTCAGTGAGCATGGATTCATTTGCAAAAGCAATTCTACACTGCACACACAGGCATTTGCTTCTAGAGTAATGCAGTGGTGTGATAGGATGATGATGTGATGCTAGAGCGGTCTCTCAACCAGGGTGCACTGAGATCCTTTCAAGGGTGCCACGGGCTGCCACACAATATTAACTCTTAGGTATGCAAAGATGATTCACAAGGTAAACCCAGAGTTTTACAAATAGGAATCCATACTGTTAAAACATTCAGACCTGTTGTGGTATTTCTGAGTTATCTGCAACACAAGAATTGCTCCATAATTTTTCTGTAGTTTTAATTTATTTTTATTTTTTTGACTAAGAGCTGGCATTTCCTGAGGAATGTCTCCAGTCTATTAAGTGTTTTGAATCTAAAAAAGTTAAGATCCACTGTGTTAGTGGTGTGGTGGTGATGTGATAATGAGACGTTTCTTTAAAGGGGAGAAGTTAATCACACCTGCAGCTAGCTGGCTGTTCAGTGCGGTTTACAGACCATTACACATAAAGACGGTTGTTTGACAAGCACCACTGGAACGATGCTGAGTAAGTGCATTAACAATCACCACTATATAAGCACATGGGGAGATCAATCCATGAAAAGCATTTAGACATTTACTGTTGGTCCTGTCATAAGGTGCTTCTCTTCATCTGGGGGGCGATGGGGGGGGAGGGCAGGGGGAAGAATTCTGATGAATTCCCTTCATTTTATCTCTGGGCTGACCTTAGTCTGGACCTGATGGATGATGACTACATCCATCTCAGAATTTGCTTCTGCCCAGCGTTCCTCACACTGCTTACCCGAGAGTCCCTACAACCCTTTGTCAGACAAATACATCATCCAGGCAGACCGTGTACCACAAGCCTTCCTCAAAATCTTAGCCTCTGCCTGGGATTCATTCATTAACCTCCAGCAGTGTAGCCGTACCATCTCCACACACCGGAGTGTGGCAGAGAATCTGCCCAGAGCCTGCCAAGCACCTTGTGCAGGCGATAGGCACAGGGAAAAATATTATTTGGTGGGATTGAGTAACTATTTGCGGGGGGGGGGGGGGGAGAGAGAAGAGAAAAAAATTTTTTGGGGGGGGTGGTATTTTTTTGGGGGGGTTTGAAAAATTTTTGGGGGGGGGGGGGGGGGTAACCCTTGCCCCTCCCTCCCAAAGGGCTGTTGTAGGCTTGGGGCATGCTGGTGCTGTGCACAGTGGTGGAGAAGCAGCTCCACAAACTTAGTTGGGGGGGGCGGTAAGCCCCGTTAGCCCTGGCCTTCCGCCAACTACGGTGCAGGTAAAGGAGTCTTTAAGGGACCGCTTCAGCTGGTGTAAATGAAAGCAGCCCAAAGGCTGCCGCAGGGCTTCAGTAGGTTAGAGCGTGGTGCTTGTGAAGCGGGTTGCAGGTAGCCTGAGGACAAACGGCGGGAGGGCAGTTCTGGGAGCATCCTCCACGCAGGCCTCGTGCCGGTGGCGGGGAACAAAACCGCCGCGCTCAGGAGCCTGAAGCGAGATTAAGGACAAGCTCGTCACAGCAGGCGCCGCGCCCACCCGGCCCATGGCCAAGGGCGGCCTGGAAGGGACATTGGCAAAGTCCTGGAGCACAAGTAGATGTTGTGCGGGGCACGAGACGAGGATGGAGGCCCCGGGTCGGAGCTGGGGGAGCCGAGGCCGAGGACCGTGGCCCCTGCGGGCTGGGGATGCCAAAGGGGGGCACTTGCTTCTTCACCCGCCCGGCCAACAGCAAGATCCCCGGGCCGCCATACCGACCTCAAGGCCAAGCTCATGGTCCCGCCCCCGCAGCCGGCCACACCAGACCGGGCCGGGCCTCGCTGGCTTCCCCCGCCGCCGCCGCCGCCGGGACTCGGGCCCAGCAACGCCGCTCCGGCTTCCCCTTGGAAACGCAATACAACCAACCCCTCGCGCCCCGCCACGGCTACTGTTCCTCTGATTGGCTGCGCCGCAGCTTCTTCCCGCCTCTCAGAGCGCGCTTCGCGCTGGCTAGCTCATGCGCTTGTCAATCAGCAGGGCCGCGTTGGGTCTGTTGCTGCGTTTTTACCCGTCATGCTTTGTGGCCTCGGCTGTTGGCCGGGGAACTGGCGGTACCATTGTGAGTGGAGGGGGGGAGCGTGGAAAGAGGCGGGAATAGTTTCGGCGGCGCGGCTGCGCATTGGCAGGAGCCAGAGCCTTGGAAGCCGAGCGCAGCGGAACCCGAGCTTCCCCCGCGGGGTGGGGGGAAGAAAGGCTGGGCGGGTGGTAGGGCTGCATAGGCAGCGGTGTTGCTTGGTGGACGGTAATTACCGTATTTACAGGATAATGTCAACCCTTGTACGATCAATAATATTAAAAGTGTTCAAAGTGTAAGGATATTGGCTATCCAGAGCGTGGGTCTAGAGGCATAGGCAGACAAAACTCTTGGTGCAGAGACAATATATATTGTTAGGCCAACTGAATAGTTGCAAAAAACCCCCCAAACAATTATTTGCAAGTTTTCGGACCCAAATGCTGTTAATCACACAAAGGACTGAGAATTCAAAGATTGTAACATTTCTCCTGGGTAGAAATGAAACTTCGTATTGCACAGGAGAACTAAATGATGGTATGGTTCTCCTGGTGTTGCATAAATTGCTGATTTTATCCCCTGGAG